TTATTTACACTAGAAATTTCAACTAGCTCTTTCTGATGTTAATATAAGTATCCTTTTTGTTTCCATTTTCCCTATAATTTCATCGTTACTCACATGTTTGTTCCATAGTATTTCTCTGCAACCTTCTGTTGAAACACATTTCTGTTGCCTCCGACCACTTCTTCATCTGTGAGAAGATTGTCCATCATTCACTGACATATAGGAAAACGATATTACATAACAGCCCAATACTCTCTTCTTTATTTCTAACGAGATTTTTCTGTTTCTTTATACTTCGCTTAGCTTTAGGAGGACATCTTTCGCTATCTCAATGTGCCTTCGGATTTCAGTGTCGCATTTTTCGTCTTTTGTTAAAAATACTTTCCAGATATCGAAATTGTTGCATTTATTTGATTTTGCTTTCTGTAATTTGTAACTTGCATTAAACTTTCCTATATCCACGACATTTGTTAGAATCGAACAATATTGATTTCTTATCGATTTATAAGAGGGTTTCTCTTTTATATAATAAAATGTCCCCTTATCACACATTTTCAACTTTGATCCTAGAGGCGTAGCTCAACATATAACATTTTGGAATCAGGCTGACTCCGTGAGCAAATTAAAAGATTCCGGGTCAGATCCAGGCCAGCAATCCTTAAATTTTGGATTCCGAAGTTTTTATTACTGCGATTGTTTTCGGATTCCGCCATCTTGGATTCTATTGATAAGAACAATTAAAGGGATACAACTCTCTTTCAATAGCTCATTTTCTCTTTAAAAAAATATACTGTGTGGGTGGGGGTACTGTGCTTTAGAAAATGTGTAATGAATGCTAATTTGCTTTAAATATTTCCCCGCCAAAAATATTTTTACGCGTGGACCAGTTTATTCAAGTAGTGTCCTGCCGATTTGTAATTGGCGCGAATTCCTTGTAACTTACGCACTTCCGGTGAAAAGTTGAAATTAATATTAGCTCAAGCCTCAGTTGGCCAGACCCCACCCAAGGCAGTACCTCTATTTCGGGAGTGGACTGAGATTATTAGCCGGCGTCCCTAAAAGAGAAAGTGTGTGCTTGAGCAATTTCTCCACGGTATTGCCGGAAAAAAAATTTAAACCTCGACGTGCCCTATTCAATATTGACATGGGTGCATTGAAAAATCCTTTACAATCATGTGTCACCGTGTCAGATGTTTTAACAACACTGCAGTTTATTTTCTTGCTCTTTCCTATTGATGCCGTCCGATCCGGCTTTCGGTTGGTCTGAAAATGTTCAGTTGTTACATTATAAATAAACTCGGCTTTTAAAAGTCGTCATAGAAAATTGCATTAATCTTTTGTTCGGTAAACTAAGTTGATTTTTTGAACATCTCGAATAAACTCATAAAATTTGCAATTTCTGCTTTTTTTTTTCTTTTCCCTCGTTTTTCTAACACAAACTGATGTTTTTATTAACCTTTCTATTAAATATTTCTAAGATGTTTTACGTTTCTCTCGATTTGGCTATCGTGTCGATAAGACTGAAATTGTAACGGTTTTTATTTAATATCGATCAGTGACTCGATCTGGGAATTTAACTCAAACGTTTTTGCAATTCGCAATGGAGATTTTTTTTTTTTTTTTTTTTGAAAGTTTTTTTATTTATGAAGCGAAATTCTTCAATATTATTCAACATTACTTTTTGTTTCTTTAAACTGTGTGATTTTCTTGGCGGGAATAAACTACATCCGGCAACAAAGTCTTTGATCAAGGGAATGGCGGTTTTGAGGAGCGTAGAAATATCTATTAACTGCTGTTGTTCCCAGGTTCACCCTGACCCGGGCAGGTATTACCTGGTAGGGTCCCAGCTTTGGGCAAATAGTGAACCATAGAATTACCAACAATACTTTTTATAGCAAAATGACCAACAATACATTTTAGAGTAGAATTACTAACAATACATTTTATAGCAAAATGACCAACAATACATTAGAATTACCAACATTTTATAGCAAAATGACCAACAATACATTTTTTTAAAGCAAATGACCCAATACATTTTAGGGTAGAAGTACCAAGAATTATCAACAATTTTATTTGTAGTTGTAGCGTTTAAAATAGATTTTAGCATGAAATAACCCTTAGAGGTTGATCTGCCTCTAAACAAAATCAACCAACCAAACTTTTTGGTGGTCACCCAGAGTTTTTTTCTCTTTAATATACTCTCGGTCATTGAGAAAAATTTCTTAGATTTTTATTTCTTCCAGCGACAAAATATAGTAAACCCTATTTTCTTAATCGATAGATTTCACCAGTTATCTTTTACTCGCTAAATATATTTACGTCATTGAACCGGTTACGATAAACAGATGTCCCCTTAGGCTTCACACCTTGAGAGACTATTGGCCCTTAAAACTCACTCCTGACCTCAAACAGAACACTTTCGTACGATCCATCGCCTAAAAATGGAGGAAAAATGGTTGTGTCCCTGTACCGCTCCAATAAATACCTGATCCTTGATGCTATCCTCTACCGTTACGAGAGCCAAATCAAGCCCCAAATGGAGTACTGTTGTCATTTGTTGGCGGGGGCTGCCTAATCGTCACTCCCCAAATTCGATAGAGTACAAAAGCATCTCTGAGTCCTTTTGGGTAACAAATTATTTTCCACCCTCTACCCCTCTCTCTCACAGACGGGATGTGGCGAGCCTCGCGCTACTCTATCGCTACTACAGTAGAAAGTGCTCGGATGGACGCATTTTTTGTTTCCTCCAGGCCTAATTGTCACGGTTAGGAGCCGCCATGCCATTTACATTGTAGAAAAACATTCAGAGCCCCTCCATATTCCAGACGTTGAGAAGTCCATTAGCAGCGTTTTCCCCTTTTCCAAATTTTCCGCCTCAGGTTCTGTCATCCATTCGCTCAGAGCTCATTAGAAGTGGCTGGCTTGATATCTCGTGTTCATTTTGTCTTTGATATGAGTGAGTGCCAAACTATTCAAACCTTCCTTTCTCATTATGTGTGCCAAAAATGATAAATGTCTCTTTTCGTCCATGGTATTCACAGCATGGTATTCACAGCATCCTTCTGTAGAACCACATTTCTATTGCTGCTATTTTTTTTTTCTCTTCTTCCTCTGTTGCAAAAATACAACGCAACCCTCGGCCATGCTTTCCACCGACTGACCCCAATTCTAATTCTCAATCGCGTCGGGGTGCACCAAAAGCTGGGGAAGGACCCGCTGCATGCTTACAAGATAGCACGATAAACGAGAAACATCACGTTGTGAAATAACGCGAACCCTGTTTCCTATGTTATATCCAGTTTTTTTTTTAATTCATGTCTTCGTCTGCTCGTCCGAGTGGGTAGGTAGGTGATGTTTGAGACAACATCTACTACGTCAGCTCTTCCTCTCTACCAACCCCGCGCCCATCTACTCATTCCGACGTGGGGGTTGGCAATATGAAATGGAGGCTTCGGAACCGCAACATAGACACGTCCGTCTTTCGCCAAAGGCGGACCAAAACTCTCTATGATCCCGAGCACGACTCTTAATATAGACCAGCAGCCGGATATACCCTATTTCCGGCTTTGTTACCACTTTATCCCCAAAAATCCTTTTACATCGCATTCCCCTTCGCTTAAAGTGAACGCTGCTTAGAAGACCGAACTTCAAAAGGAGCCATCCTATGGTCTCTCAGACAGACACTATTGAAATCAGAATAAAGCCACCTCGTTCTTTTCTACGTGGGTGATCATAGTATGACCCAACCCGGAGATTGTCTAATATTCACTGCCATATAAAAGTATTGATATTGCATAACGGTTCAGTACTCTTTTCTTTCTTTCTCACGGTATTTGTTTGATTCTTAGTACTTTACCTAGTTTTTGGAATGCATCATTTGCTATTGCAATAAACCTTCGGATTTCGGTGCCACATTTTTCACACACTTCCCATATATTTAAACTTCTATACTGGTTTGATGTTGACATCTTCAACTCGTAGTTCGTTTTTTTTTATTTTTTTTTTTTCTCTTACTGACAACCATTCATTCTGTCATCTTACAATTGATGGTTAGTCTTTTGTTCTTGTTTTACTTTTAGTTTGTCATGAATTTCTGTATTTTTTCCTTCTGTGTCTGCCATGAACACACTTCGTATCTTACATTGTTTAGATTACCCCCACCGATAATAAATTCTGGTAGGTTTTCCAGCTCCACAAGGAAAATTCCCTGACCGCCATCAACATGCACGATGCACGACTCATGAAGAGAATTTCACTGCGCCTTCTTTGCCTCACGTTTTCAACTGACTTGAAGCTGCATCTACTACAAGGAGGGTTGATCTATTGTATCATTCCAGAAGGTTTTTCTTGTCAGAGTCCATCTTGCATATTTACAAATCTATGTCCGTGCATTGAATACTGTTGCCATATCTGGTCTGGTGCCCCTGCTGTTCATCTCTAGTTTCTTGGCAAAATCCAAAGAAGGATCTGCAATGTAATCGATGCAATCGATGCAACGTTATTCGTCACCTTCTGTCGTCTTCAACCCCGTTCATCTTTTATCCTTTCCTCATCATATACCCAGCCTTTTCTCTCACTTTCACTGTCTGTAACCCCCCCGCGATCTTGTACTGCGCTTAGAAACGTAAATATTGGGGAAAATAATCATTACGGAGAGTTTCTCGTAGTTCTCAACTCGAAGGACGTTAAATCAATGTTTTACAGTAAACGACTAACGGTGATTCTATACAGTAGACAATTTCTTTATTCGTTTTTATATATTAATGTTAAATATTAGTGTTAAATATTAGAGTTAAATATTAGAGTTAAATATTAGAGTTATACTCTAATCGCTTTGTTATGTCTGTCTTTTGTTTCTTTGTATTTATTTGTTTGACTTTCATTTTAACTGCCATTTTTTTCCTTTTATGTTTTACAGTATCACTGAATTGGAAATCGAGGTATTTATATACTTTTCTTTATCTCACATATTTACAAGCGCATTAGATATTTGTTACTCTCAGATATTTGTTACTTATGTCTATATCACATTGCAACACCGATTCTCGTACAATCACCGAAGTTAAGCAACGCCGCGCCTCTTCAGTACCTAGATTGGTGACCGCTTGGAAATACCAGGTGCTGTAGGCTTGGCTGTCTTGGTGATATGGCTCATGACCATATCACATTGAAACACCGGTTCTCGTACGATCACCGAAGTTAAGCAACGTTGGGTCTCTTCAGTACATAGATGGGTGGCTGTTTAGAAATCCCAGGTGCTGTAAGCTTAGATGTGCTGGTGGTGTAGCTTACGGCTGTATCACATTGAAACACCGGTTCTCATACGATCACCGAAGTTAAGCAACGTCACGCCTGTTCAGTACCTAGATGGGTGACCGCTTGAGGATATCAGGTGCTGTAAGCTTGGATGTGCGGGTGGTGCAATGGTTAACGACTCGCAATTGAAATTAGAAAAGCCGAGTTCTAATTTCAATCGGGGGGGGGGCAAATTACGCGCAAATACCTCCAGCTATAGGTTTTTAATTAAACAGTATTAATTACATTTACCGGCCTGAATATTCGGGAAACTTCGTAGAAAATATGCGTTCTCTGACGAATGTCCCTAGAAACAATGAAGAGAGTACTGAACTGATATGTAATTTCTAATTCTCCCATATAACAGTGAATGACAGACAATCTGCCCACAAATGAAGAAGAATCTTGAGGCGTCAGAAAGTTCTATCGAAGAATATTGAGAATTGTATGGTTAGCTGTTTTTTAGCGGCATATCAACATGTATATGGGTTATTTACTGCTTACAGCACCTAGTATTCCCAAGCGGCTACCCATCTAGATACTGAACAGGCCCGACGTTGCTTAACTTCAGTGATCGGTGTTTCGATGTTATATGGTCGTAAGCCATACTATCAGAACATCCAAGCTTACAAGTTTCAACCGTTCTTCAAGCGAGTTCGAACTCCAGTCGAATCCATTACGTTCACTTACGTGCTGATACCCTTGCGAAAGGTGTAAATCCTCTTCTGCCTCCAACTATGGGTAAATAGCCTTGGATGGCAGCTGGTTTAGGAGAAGGACAACTGTGAATTCAAAACCTGCTGGAGGTCGTTTGGGGACCTTGTGGCACTTAGTGCACCAGGTCTCTGTATTCGGCCCTTCAAAATGTGTGGATAGTCCTGCATGAAACCTTCACCACTATAATCAATTCTCATGTGCTGTTGTCGAGCTGTCGGTTTCCTGGGAACTGATCTGCTTGACCATCATACGTCGAATTCGACGAGAGAGTCTCGTATATATATATATATATATATATATATATATATATATATACAATTATTTATTTTTAAAAAATTTATAACATAAATATGTTATAAAATCACTACAAAAATAGCCATTTTGTTTCAACACCTCGGTGTCTTATCAAGTGATGGTGTTGAATGTAGAATAAATGGTTTTAAAAGTTTCAAATTAATTAACAATCCTTCACAAAAAGCCAAATGGAGATGGAATCAAAATACAAGTATAGGAAAATTAAAAAGCATGACAACGAAGTCATGCTATTCAGATGTTTAAAATATGGGTAGTATTAAAAAAGAAATTATTCTAACCAATAGTTACTAAATTATATGATAAAAGTTAATATTAAAATTAAAAACTGCTAATTTCAAAATCAAAATTTAATCGCTATTAAGTTTACAACTATAAAATTACTGAGGAGAAAAGAAGAAATATATATGTTATTCAATTTATTTCTTCATTGAAGTTACTTTAGCTAATTTTATATCCGGTCCTTTGACAATGTATACATTTTAATCCTAAGAGTGTGTGAATGGGGTCCTAAACTCACGCGTAAAACAAACGCAATCAGATTATAATATATAAGCACCCAGACATATTTATATATATATACACACACAAAAAGAGACGAGACAGAGAACACCACCACGATCGTTTAAAAAAAAAAAAAAAAAAAAAGGAAATTGGGGGAGGGAAACCAACACACACGTACATACATACACGATTAAAAGTGAATGCACTTTCCATACACATAGACAATTATAAATACATGCACACACATCCACAGACATTGACCCAGACAATCGGATACAACAACCAATAAATATTTAAGACTGGAAGTGTCATTACACAAATGCTCACAACTTATTGAAATATAACTTATGCGAGCAAATATAGAAAGATAAAAATAATTAAAAATAATATTATTTAATATATTAAAATAGTGTATGTAAATATAAAATCGGACATCAAAGTCAACACCATAGGTATAGGTAACTCATATGATGTATATACCTATATATATATATATACATATATACATACACACACACACCTAAACACATACATACATATACATATAATAATTTTTCTTTACACACACACATACATACATACACACAGAAATACATACAAATAAATACATAAACATATACATACGTATATATCTCCATGATAACAAGTACACATACACATACATACATATATACACATATATACCCACAACTATACACACATATATATGTACACATACTCACATATAAATACATATATACACACAGCAATACACAAATATAAACATATATACACACACATATACTAGCTCATGTGGCCGTAATGACATACCCAAGTTTCCATACCTACACGTACACACAATCTCATATACAATAGGTGTCAACATACACATATACAACCGCAAACATACATAAGTAAACACATACATATATATATACATAGCACTCTTTTAAGAATAGTATTTGTTGGTTATTGGAATTCATTCCATATACACCAATCATATACTTTTGAGTATATATATATATATATATATATATATATATATATATATATATATATATATATTGAAATTGTATAGAAGGGAGTATATGAAATGTACATGTTTTTCTCATATTTTCTTTATACGTGCATTGACTACTTTTTAATACTACTTTTTCCTGGTCTAATTCAACTCTGACCATTAATTTTATTATTATTATTGACTGCTTATATTTTTCAATTTTTTTATGCACTTATCATTGGAGCAATTCCCGTATTGTTTTTTGTGTTTGTGCGCGTGTGGCCATGCGCCCCTCTGTGCGAATGTGCGTTTGCGCGCCTGCGCCCTGTCTGCGCGGATGTGCGTATGTGTATGATGTCGTGATTATTTGTGCTTTTCTCCTTTTTTTCTCCACTTTACAATCACACCTTAGTTTTCGCCCTTTTTTCCTTTACTTTCAATTGCTGCCAGTTGTTTCTATTTATTTCCGTTTTTTCTCTATACATGTAATCGTTTTTAATTTTTGAGCGTGCTAAGTCTTTTTGTGAGGTAGAAAAAATTTATTTTGTTTTTTACATAAATAATTGATATTAATGCTTAAATGATAAAGTAAATATTTATATATCTCTTCACTTGGCTATTATTTCGTTTTCTTATTTGGTTTGGTGGTATCTTAAGTATTAATTGTAGGTTAAGTTTATAATTAAATTTTATAGAGTATATACTCCCGTACACTCTCACATGCACATATATGTGATTTTAAAATAGTGTATATGTATTAAATTAAATATTTGCTTATATCATATGTTATTGTTTATCTAACGTTTTTATTTTTCTTTAATGGTTAGTAATTTTTTTTTTTTTTGTTTTGTTTTTTTTTTTCGCTTTGGCGTTATATATTGAGTTATTTATTATTTTATATATTTATTAGGTGGGTAGGTTTGTTCGTTCGTAGGTGCGTCTGCATATATTTCTATGTACTTATACACACACACACGTATCAATGTGTATATTTAATTTTTGTTCGTTTATTTATAATAAGTAATTTTAAGTTTATATAATGTTTATTCCATTTATTTAAAGTTCATATTACATTTATTTCTTTTTTTTTTAATTAGTGCTTAGATGGCAAAGTACTTATTTATATGCCTCCATTTACCCATTATTTCAGTTTTATATATCAGACTCGTTTATAGTTACTTGTTATTTAATATATATATATATATATATATATATATATATATATATATATATATATATATAAGCATATATTAAATAAAATAAGCAACGTACATGTTTCTTATTGTATAAAAATATATATATATATATATATATAAAACACAAGCACACGACACATATACACACACACACACACACACACACATATATATATATATATATATATATATATATATATATTATTTACTCTATAATAATAAATACATTGAGTTCATTTTGAATCAGTTTTAATATTTTATATTACTAGAATCTACTTGGATTATATACCAACGGATTTGTTATCTTTACTATATATATATATATATATATATATAGAGAGAAAGAGAGATTAGCATTTTTACTACGTTTTTATATTTCTTGGTTTATTGTATTTTCCAGAAATCAATTTCACTTGTGTGCTCACGAAATTTCTTTCACGATTAGTGAATGTTTTGTGTGAATGAAATTAACAACTGATGGTTACACCCAAGATTTGAATGCTTTGTCACTTGTAGGATTTATCATGTACTTGAAACAATATATATATATATATATATATATATATATATATATATATATATATATATATATATATATATATATATTAATTAAAATTACCAACATCTAAGGGGATCTGTTATAGAGACACACCGGAGAAAGAGATCTTGATGCCGTATTAACTAGCAGAGCATCAATATTTCTAAATAAATTCCCGGGAAACAGTGGCTGACCACATCTAAAAGCTTATTTCATTCTCACGCAATCATCAGGTGCTACATATATTTCTTCAAATTTTAACTGTAGGATAAAAAAAAATCTAATAATTCTTTAGAAATATCCATGTGTTCGTGTACATTAAACATTAAGTATCCCGAAGACATGATACCTATAAAATGTGGCTTAGTGGTCATGCAGGCCAAAACGAGGCAGGAAGGCATTACAGGTGATCCGAAGTGTGACATTTGAGTAAGTTGGCAATCACCGTGTATGTATGTGGGTACTGTATGATGTGGTGTAACAACTCGAAAGATTTTCAAAGTGCTTTTGACAGGCATGGGTCAAATAGTTTTTTATAGCCTTCTGCGTCAAGTTTTGGGGAGCTTTGGTAATTTTTTTCTTTTATTTTTACTATTAAAATCTACTGCTAGAAATGTTTACTATAAAAAATGTATTTTTATACTTTCCTAATGTTTTGACACCAGTTTTGGTGTTCATTATTTGCCCATATCTGGGACCCTAACAGGTGCTACCACCACGAGTCAGGATGGACCTGGGAACAACAATAATTAAGAGATGGTTCTACGCTCCTTAAAATCTGATCAGAGGCCTTACTGCCGGATGTAGTTTATCGTCATACCCAGGATGTTAGGTTATGTAAACCATCTGAAAGGCGATCATAACCAGAAATGCCAACTTGGCTCATCCTCTTGCCGTCAATATCTTTGTTGTTTACAGTAAGGTTTGCTGATAATCATCTGAGAGTTGTAGGACATGCAGATCCAATCAACCCAATCAAGGAAATCTGTTATATATGCACGATAGCTATGAAATTGATTGCTGCTAGTTTTAAGAGGTATGGAGGCCAAAATGAGACGGAAGCCTTTGCAGGTGATGCGAAGGCTCTCACCTGAGTAATTTGGCCAACACCTTATATATATGTAGGTACTATGGTGTAACATCTCGAAAGAAGTTCAAAATGTTATTGACAGGCATGAGTCAAAGGATTTGTATAGTCTTTTGTGTCAAGTTTTTGGTTCCAACTCTTTTCCTGTCATTCTACCGAGATCTCTTATTGACAGAACAACTGTTAAGGGTCCCGAAGACATACGGAGACGATGGGCTGGACATCTGTCCAACCGCCTCTCTAATCCATTTAATATTGATGACGCAGTCATAAATAATTTGCTACATAATGAGTGACTGCATCAAATGAACATCCTGTACACACTTTAAGAGATAAACCTCGCCATCAAACAAGGCACCTAGATTTGGTGGAATTACTACGTCTCTCCCTAACATCGAGGCTACCACCCTTCAACATCGCCTCTGTTGGGTTAGCCACGTGTCCAGGATACATCTCAATCGACTTCCTATATGACAACTGAATTAAAAATTCTGCGACATTATCTATTACACCACCCGCACATCCAAGCTTATAGCACCTGATATTCCGAAGTGGTCACCCATCTAGGTACTGACCAGGCTCGACGTTGCTTAATTTCGATGATCGTGCAGGAATCGGTGTTTCAATGTGATGTGGTCATAAGCCATATTGAAACTAATACTCTTCAATCAGATGCAATAAGCAGGACACGTTGTGAGAATGGGGGATTAACAACTTTTCTAGACAGGAAATTGTCTAAACACAAATCTAGAAAGAGGTTTACAGATAATCTGAAGGATGATCTGAATGCATTGTACATAGATGTGCAGCACTGGGAAGAACTGATTTTAAATCATACAGAGGAGAGGCAATTTCTAAGAGATGAATGCAATGCCTTTGAGGATGAATGTCTCAGGGACGGTCGCCGAAGAATTTGCCAACTAATATGCAGTCTTGGAAACGTGGTGTTTGAACGCATGCCGTTGTCGAGGGCAGGTTATGTAAACCATCTGAAAGGTGATCATTACAACCAGAAGCAAGCCAATTATGCCAACCAACCTCATCGTCCAGCCGACAATACCTGTGTTATTTACAACAAAACTTGGAGATCATCATCTGGATTGGGAAGGCACGCAGCGATGCAAGAGAGAGCTGTATGTCGTGTAGATCCAAACAAACTCAATCAAGGATACAGAGTTTATCTGTCATCTATTCCTGATAACTATGTAATTGAACGAATTGGTCTCAAGAGTCATCTTAGGGGCCAACGATGTACACGAAACGACTCGGATGCCATCGCAAACGATGCGAAGATTGAGAGTGCGGCGGAAGCTCATCTGAGTAATATGTAGCAATCACCATGTATACCGGTATCAAATTATTATCTAATGACAAAAATATTTCGATTAAAAATTGATTGAAGCAAAGCAAAGGTAATGGAGTCGTGTTGGTAAGCGAAAAGAAAAATCAGAAATCAAAATATTTCTGATTAAACTGCAGTCAGTAGAAAATTCTAGCAATAACGATTCGTTGAATTTTCTTCACAGCCAGAAATTCGTTTTCCTGGATTTGTGTCTTCGTACGGGGGGGGGGGGGGTGAAATAAGTTTTGCAGAAGTCTATTTATCAGTTAAACTGTGATGTACATAATTATTACAGAGAATGAAACTGTTGACGTATTTGTTTAATAAATCCTATCCGTTATATATGTAATCATTAGAGGGAATGAAAGTATTGACGTATTTGTTTAATAAATACCCTCCGTTATATATGTAATCATTAGAGGGAATGAAAGTTTCGACGTATTTGTTTAATAAATCCTATCCTTTATATATTTAATCATCAGAGGGAATGAAAGTGTTGACGTATTTGTTTAATAAATCCTATGTATTATATATGTATTCATTAGAGGGAATGAAAGTTTTGACCTATTTGTTTAATAAATCCTCCTTGTGACATCACTGGTTACCTCACCAGCTGTTATCATTATTATTATTAGTAAAATAATTTAATTCTGTTATATAAATGAAAGAAATCTTTTCTCACTCCGACTGTTATCTCACCTCCTTCCACTTCTATTCGGCTGATGGCCAGAACGTATTCATGGCTGACAGCCGAGTCAGCTCAATACTGGCTGATTTTGTATGTTAAGTTGATGTTCTTGTGGGGTGGGGGAATCTTTTTAAGGTTAACGTAACTTGAATTGGTTAGCTGCTCAATCAATCAAATACGTTCACTGGAAATTCGTGAGTCCAGTCCACATCACAAAGAGTTCATTACAAGCTTTACCATCCTTGTATGGATACATCCATATATACGCTCACACACAGACACACACACACACGCAGATACAGTCTCACGCACACATGTATAAACTGAAAGATGTTCATTAGTAGTAAACCACTACTAGTGGTGAACTACGTAGACAGCATATTACCCTAATTTACAATCGTGTCTAACGTATTTATGAGGATTGGGACATATCTATTACTGTTCATAGGTACGGTATATAACAAATATTATTAGTTCATATTATTTAATATCATTGATTATTTATTTAATATTATTATTTAATATTATTTAATATCATTTATTATTATTTATTTAATATTATTATTTAATATTATGTAATATCATTTAAATAACATTTAAAATATCATTTAATACTATTTAATATTTTTATTATCATTTATTTAATATGGTTATTTAATATTATTTAATATCATTTATTATTGTTTATTTAATATTATTTAATATCATTTAAATAATAACATTTAAAGGTTATTATTTAATATTATTTGATATCATTTATTATTAATTTGATATTATTTAATATCATTTAATATAATTTATTATTAATTCAATATTATTTAATATCATTTATTATTATTTATGTAATATTATTATTTAATATATTATATATTAATTATTATATATTATTATATGAGTTTATATTATAAATAATATATGATAATCTTATATGAAATTGTTATATATTTATTATTATATTTAATATTACTTGTTCAATATCAGTATTTAATATTAATATATTATATGTAATATAATATATTATTATATTAATATATGGCTAATTAATATATGAAAATAAATCAACACTATTTTTGTCACCTGATGAGTGAATTTGAGAATCTGCAAAACTCCGACTTGAGATAAATGAACCTTCTATCTATCTATCTATCTATCTATCTACCTATCACACACACACATATGTACACACACACACACACACACACACACACCAAAAATTGTTTAATTGTCAGAGTAAGCACTGAACCGTTGTTATCAATAATTAAAGATATCTTACTGGAATTCTCCGACGTTTTTATAACACTATTGGACTCTACTTTGAGCAATAAGAATGTATAATTATTCCCCAAGCTTAACAGAAGAATCGTGATTGAATCAATCATAAACGAAAAAGACATGTTTATCATTAATTAACCATAGCTAAGGATCGGAAGCTCATGAAGCATTGAAATAAAGTTCAAACATATATATATATATATATATATATATATATTATTCCACGATCATTTTCCAACTTATTCAAGATGATCTTCGCCCTCTCTAACCTTCTAACTTTCTGTTCTGGTGTAACAAAATGCCTCACACGTTTCACGTAGGATTTCATTTTCAAGTCGTTTTTCATTGCTCTTTGCACTATGATAGCTGAAAATCCTCTCTCACATGACAAATGTCTTATGAATTTAGTTGGATCTTAAGTTGAAATGATGATCCCTATTCCTATTGTGACACCCTGATCCAGTTTTCTTCTCTACAGTTCACACTTTTTTTAAACTTATTCACTGTTCTCTTGATAGTTCTTCAATGGACTTTTGAAGATGGAAGCCAGAGTATGAATGTTGGTCCGATTACTGAAGGCAAGAATGATTTTTCATCTCCCTTTGCTCAGTTGTGAGGCTGACACCAAAATATAGCATACGTGAAAACTATATTTTATCATACATATATATATATATATATATATATATATATATATATATATATATATATATATATATATATACCGTGTGTAACACCAAATTGTTCCAATCGTTTCTGCAGCATGGGATAATTGTCCATCACACAAAATATTTAATATCTTAATCACTTTTCAACAATTTTCAATTGCACTTACAGATCATTTATTTTAAAATGCTGACTGACATTCCGTTTCATTTTTTGAAGATCAGAGTTGAAAGGAAAATAGTTCCACAAGAGGTTTATTAAAACAATATCATATAAATCGCATATTCATATAAGAAAATCTTGTATTAATTACGATTACGATATATATATATATTATATATATAATGATAATATTAGTGGTTAATATATATACACACACACACACACACACACACACTCATCTGTATCTATATCTATATATATATATATAAAACATAAATACAAACATATACATACATCTACAAATATATATAAATAAATTTCAAGAGGATAGAATCCAGGTAGAACTCAATGTCTACGACAGAGTAAGAATATAATATAAAAGCTTAAGCACTAATATTCCATGGTTATAATTTATTTCATGGGAATCGTAAATACGTATTTACGATTCCAATGTAATAAATTATAACCGTGCAATTTTAGGTTTTAATACTTTTTATTATATATATATATATATATATATATATATATATATATATATATATATATATATATGTGTGTGTGTGTGTGTGTGTGTGTGTGTGTGTGTGTGTGTGTGTGTGCAGTATTTGTTTTTGTAACGTTGTTTTATGTTTTTTATGTTCCGCTATGTTTTTAGCTAGTTTACCCTGAAGATGTATATATATATATATATATATATATATATATATATATATATATATATATATATATATATATCCAATATTATATTCTTTAAAATCCTTTCTTTCTTTCATTTTTCTCCTTTCTTTCTTCTTTTTTCCTTATTTTTTCTTTGTTTCCATCATTTTTCACTGCTTTCAATTTCTTTCTTTCTGTTTACTTTCATTTTTCTTTCTTAAATTCGTTCATTTTTCCTTCTTTCATTCATTCTTTCTTTTATTCCTTCATTCATTCTCTTTCTTTCTTTATTTCTTTTGTTTTTATTTCTTTGTTTAATGTTTTACTTTTTTTTACTTGCATTCGTTCATTCTTTGCTTCTTTCTTTCCTTTATTCGTTCTTCTCCTCTCTTCCATTCTGTTTATTTTTGTCCTCCATTTTTTCTCCATCTTTCTCTATCAATTATAGACTTATATAAAATAAAATCTAGCTTTAACAATAGGCTTATAAATACCAGGTATTATTAAAAGGTTTTTACTTATAACCGATTGTTACCCACCATCGCTTTTTGGAGAGGGTAGTCTGGGATGTGTTTCAGCAGAGGGACGCAATGTACGACACTGAAAATTCCAAGGCACATTGAAATAAACAAAGATCTCTTTCAAAAGATAAGCAGAGTATTAAAAAAACAGAAAAAAATTCGTTAAAAACAAAGGAAAGAATACTGAACTGTTACATGATATCTGCCCTCCTATATGCCAGTAAATAATGGACAATCTTTGAGAAGATGGTGAAGAGACGTGAAGCAACATAAATGTGGTTTTACAGACGGATGCTATGGACCGATAATATGTGCAACGACAAAAAGGGAAAC